GATTCTCGTAGAGATAAAAGGATAATGCGAACTTTAAGCAAAAGTAAATTGTCTATGTAGCCATCGTATTAATAAATAATATATAGGGTTGGCCACTAAAAAGAGTTCACGATGATATTTGGCAGTATGCCAAAACGGGATGGTGTTTTTTTCTTATCAAGTCTAGACCATTATCCAATTATTTGTGTTTTATTATTTAAAATAATTCTAATTTTGATAATTTTGTTATTTACAACAATGTTGTTATTTGCTAATACATTAATATATTAATTTTGCATTAAATATTCTATATTATATTCCATTAAATAAGAATAAAGACTTCAATTTAAAAGTTTTATTTTGTCTGACCAGTTTACCTTTTACTTGAGCCGTTGAATCGTTCTCGCAGTAAAGGCATGCTTTCACGGGTTGTATGGCAAGTCGCGCCATCTTGTTGGAACTAAATGTCGCCGAGACCACGAGCTTTACTTTCAGGTACCAAATAGTCAGTTATCATGGCAAGATAACGGTCTCCATTCACACATTCACAGTAACATTCTGGCCGGCCTCTGTTTTAAAGAATTATGGACCAACGATTCCACCAGCCCATAAACCACACCAAACAGTTGTTTTTTCAGGGTGTAATGGCAACTCTTAAACATCTTTGGGTTGTTCATCACCCCAAATACTGACATTTTGTTTATTAACGTACCCATTAAGCCAGGGCACTATTCCAATACTGTTACTCACAAATTTTAAGGGCTCAAAATGGAGGTAGCATAAAAGACATTGCGGTGCCCAACCAAAACCCCCTACAGGAAAATTCTGGGTGCGCCACTGCATTAAGCCAAAAATGGGCCTCATCTGAAAACAAATTTTTTGTCGAAAACACTGGATCTTCTGAAAGCTTATCAAATACGCCAAATTGTTGCATATGACAAGCCAAGCTGTTGACAACGGCGACGAATCCATTCTTCATTATTTTCGAGTACACTATCCGTTACCGCCGCCATATTTTCTTCAGTACGTTCTGAATGTGGTCTTTTTGGTCACGTGTTATCCAATAATGAAATCATTAGCTTGGTTTTGTTGGTGTTTATATCCAGTCCATATTTTCTACTTGTTTCCATTATTTTATTCATTAAATTTTGCAGCCCTTCTATGGTATTGGAAAACACTATTGTATCGTCTGCATACCGCAGGTTATTGAGCTTGACTCCATTTATTGAGATACCTTCATCAATATCTTTTAGAGCCTCTTCAAAAATGTGCTCCAAGTACAGATTAAATATCAGTGGTGAAATTATGCACCCTGTCTCACTTCCCCTGAAGATTTTAACCTGATCTGTAAATTTTCCATCTATTCGGAGTACCGCTGATTGATTTCAATACAGGTTAGCTATTATTTTTAAGTCTTTTCCATAAATCCCTGTCCTTTTTAGCACTTCCACCATTTCTTCATATCTGACTGTATCGAAAGCCTTCTTGTAGTCAATCAGGCAGGCAAAACCATTAAAGCTGACATCTCTACATTTCTGAAACAATATCTGCACGCTAAATAAAGCTTCCCTCATACCAATGGCGTTTACAAATCCAAACTGATTGGGCGCAATTTGTTCCTCGCATTTCCGGTCAATTCTTGTATGGATGACTTTTAAAAACAGCTTCAGCAGATGGCTCATTAGGCTTATGGTCCTATAATCTTCACAAACTTTTGATCCTGTTTTTTTGGGCAATGGGGCGAACTACGATTTGAGCCACTCTACTGGTATTTTTCTTGTCTTGTATATTTCATTAAATATTACAGTTATTATTTTTATTTGTTCTTCATCAAATAGCTTCAACAGTTCTGCAGAAATTTTATCAAGTTCCGGTGCCTTTCCATCCTTCATTTGTCTGACGGCTGCCATTATTTCTTCTGCCGTTGTTTCAAATTTACTAATCGTAAAGCGAATTGTACGTTCGGTAGGCCGATTATGTGGACCATAAATTGCTCTAAGCGCACAAAAGACCACAAGACAAAGTCTTTCCATCATGAAATGTCAAACAATACTTGCCAAAATGTCAGTTTGACAGTATTCATGAACGATTTCCAATCAAATTCCCACCAAAAAAAGTACCTCTAAATGAATCACCCTTTATAAGCAGTAAATACAATATTGGTTTTGTTTCTAAACTTTCAAAAAAGAAACTAGATGAACAAACGAGGGAGTTACTTTTAATGTGAATCAATTTCTGCAGCATGAGGCAGAGAGTACCTAAGTAACCATTTATTGAGTTAAAAAAGTTCAAGAATGTGTAGACCATGTAACTTTCAATGCAATAGCCCAAGATATGAGAAAAATTAAAGATGGCAAACAAGGAGTTTTCTATGACTAGTAAAAAAGAAAAGAAGGCTAATGACACACAATTTGATGATTTTCATATTAATGTTTTACAATGATTATAGGATTGGAAACCAAGTGCTTACATTAAAGAAAATTCATCAAAAATGTATAACAGAAAATGGAAAACTTAAAATTTGTATAAGGAAAACGAAAAAAATGGGATTTCATTGATAAAAAAAACCAGACAGCAAACAGTTATAAGACAATGTCAATGTCAGGCAATACTTCACCTCAGACGGCTCCAAGATCTACTGGACACCACAATAGCCGGTAGTAAAACAATACTGATACTTAAAAAGGGAGACTCAAGAAATCCTGAAAATTATAGAGGCATTAGTCTGATGAATAGTACATTAAAATTGTTAACGGCAGTCATAAAAGATAAAATCGAGAAAAAAGCGAATATGGAAGATGAACAACAAGGCTTCCGGAAGAAACGCAGAACAATAGACGCAATTTTTAATATCAGACAAATAATAGAGAAGTCTATTGAATATGGAAAACCAGCATACATGTGCTTTGTAGATTTAAAAAGTGCTTTTGACAGGGTGAAGCAAAATGACATCTTAAATTTATTACAAGCTGAACAAATAGACTATCAGATAATAAGGACAATTAATGAAATTAACAAGAACAACAAAACCAGAGTCATAATGCCAACAGGAGAAATAGAATGCATAGAACTAAAAGGAGGAATCTGCCAAGGAGACTCGCTCAGCCCATTGTTATTCAATATGGTGATGAATCAAAAATTCACGAAGAAAACGACACGGATACCACATGGGAGCGCATAAAATCAACACACAAAAACGAAGATGACCTACAAAAGGCAGCTCCACACCTTCAATATCAGAGCAAACAAACTTAATATGGGAATATCAGTAGAAAAAACTAAATGTATAGTGATCAGTAAAGAGCCGCATAGATGCAAACTAGAAATAGAAGTCAAAATTGTAGAACAAGTAATGAAATTCAATTATTTAGAATATTAGAGAATATCTCCAAGAAACCATATGGAGAAACAAATATCTGACCACAGAAAGCAAAATGAAAATATACAAGACGACAGTAAGACCAATCCTAACATAAACAGCGGAGACAAGGACCAATACAAGAAGGACGAAACAACAAATTAACAATATCGAAATAAAAGTATTAAGATCAATAGTGGGCATATCATTAAGAGACAGGCAAACCAAAAGAAGTATACACCAACAATGCAAAATTCAAAATATTAATAGGTGGATAAAAACAAGAAAAAAAAAAAACTGGAACGAACATGTAAACCAAATGGGACCAGATAGATTAGCAAACATCAGTAAAAACAACAAACCATATAGCAGAAGACCCATTGGAAGGCCGCCAAGAAGGTGGAAAGATAATGTACAGTAAACAACAACTTAAACAGAATAAGAGGCAAACAAACAGGAGTAATCTTAGTCGCACTAAGAAGAAGAAGGAGAACATGTTTTATATTAAGAATTTAAAAATAATTTTATTGCATATTGCTTCAAGGCATGGGTAATCAGCTATGTGGCCTAATAGCAGAGCCATTTTTGGTAATAACACATTTTAAGGAACAAATAAAAAAAAGATTAAAAACAAAAAAAATTGCTAATAGAGATATAAAACATGCTTTACATTTTAAATAGAGTACCAGAGAAGAAAAACCTTGCACCTTGAAGGCTGTTTTCTGTACAGAACTCTAAGATAATCTGTGGTCTATTTTGCCACTCAAAAGCAAACATATGATTTTTACATTAAATTTTTTGTCTGTGTTAGCATTCTTCATCCCTTTTTTCATAACACGTTTTATGGATTCTAGGAAAGTATGTATGAATTCTTTAATATCTAGTATGGAAAAAGATGAGATAGGTCAAAAAAACGCTTTTATGGTTGTGTAATATCAGGTAATGGTGTGTTCTCATGGCAGAAGATTTATTTCTTGCACAAGCTGATAAAGAAAGATTTCAGAAAATTGCAAGCATGATGAAAAAGAAACATTTGGAAAAAAGAAACTAAAGACTACTTTGGGATTAAAAACAAATAACTAAGTAAGTACACATTGGTAATTTTGAAGGAGAAAAGTGTTAACCTTGCTAATATTAACTACTTAAATGAAAGGATTAGAAAAAATGACAGGTATTAATAATCTAAAAAATGGATTGGTGAAAGTAAAATATTTTATTAACCATGTTGATGCAAACTGTAAAGATGTGCAATAAAACTGTGATCATTGATCACATATGTCCTTATTTGTTCTAATATGATAATGCTGGTAATAAGCTAATAAGTACTAGTAGTATTGATTATTTTCTTCAGATTGTTGATATTTTATAGTGAATTATAAGATTGTATTTATCTAAAATATGTGATTTTTTATGATGCAGTATTTGTTTAATTATGTACAGATACACAAATCCCTATTAAAAAGTAGTTAAGATAAAGGAAAACGAATCTTTAAAGTGTTCCTTGTAACCGCAATTTACATTATCTGTGAGACTGTATTTGAACTAGAAAGAACTGGAAATTTTTACACAAAATCAATACATTTAAAGACTGACTTTACATGTTGAAATAAGTGCTATCTCAGCACTTTTCCACCTTAAACATATAATATAAAAAGGGACTTACTGTTCGTTAAGGACAGGTGCTATTTTCTGGATATTGTCGAGGAATTTATTATCGCCGCACCATACCGAAGGCTTGTGAGGTTCACTGTTTACATTTAAAATTCGGAATAGAATACAAATGATGACAGCTACGGCAGCTAATAATACCGTCGACATAGTTGTCACGACACAGCCGGTTACTATCAGAACAGCACCACTACTAAAACAATGCCAAACGCGAAAGTAAAATGCATGGATAATAATATATTTATTGAGCCTGACCAATTGGAGTTTGACTTGACAGTTGATAATGATACTGAAAACTGAAAATATATTAATATATCGATTATAATCGACTATAATCGATTTGCTTATTAAAAAAGAATAATACACGCATGATATAAAATCTCCTTATAATTATTTTTCAAATATTTTAAACTACTTTAAACTAGCAACAACATAATGTTTAATTTTAACAATAAAAAAATGCAAGACATTTTATATCATACTTTGGAATCGAAATTTTGGACCTGTTCGATTGTTCGAAAGCTTTGAGTTTGAATTTAGAAGAAATAAATACTCAATTATTTAAATAATGTACTAACTTTATCACCAAACTTAGTTTTTATTTATTTATGCAAAAAACAATTTTTATATTTCTTTCTCTGAAAACACAGCATACCTACTACAGTAAACTCAAAATATTATTATAAATATTAAGAGATAAAGAAATATCAAGAAAGTATTCATAATATTAAAATACTTTTTACAAACTTTTATTTGTTGTGGTTTCTCAAATAAGTTTTAATAAATTAATTTAAAAAAAATCTTATTAAAAAATATAATGAATTAACAATCACCCAGGCTATGCAACTAATATTACAGTACGATAAAACAAGTTGCCTTCTCTCTAGGTTATATATTAAGGAACAGGTGCGGATTAAAATATTTCAGTGGAAAATTTTAATGTTACAGCGTCGTATCGTTCATATAAGTTCTTTTCAACCATGTATATTGTAATGTATATATTTCGTATTTCAACAATTTAATCATAATGAAGCTAACGAACAGAACTACAAAGTAATATATAGTTATCGTAACTATTTCAAAAACAAATCTTCAACTTATGATTATGTACGTGAACTGTAAACTTTGTATTTCAATTATATCTAGTTAAAATTTCCAAAAACACAAATACATTTTGCCTAACATTTGATATTGTGTAATAATTTTTGAACTTATATAAAATAACTACGTTAAATGATTAACTATCCAAAAAGCTTTATTTAAAACTGGGGATTTTGTTAATATTACAGCAAACAAGTTGTCATTTTAGCAGTGAAAAATTATTCGGCTGTCACTTAATAGATGAGAAAATAAGTTCATGTGTCATTTAATAGAAGGCAGCAGTGATGTATTAAATGGCGGCAGATGCGCGTTTGCCGAATTTAAGAAAAATCTGCAAAACATTGAAGATTTGTGGTGAGGCAGTACCATGGCCATCAAATTATTATAAAAAAGGATTTGTTATTGATTAGAGAGATTAGTAAAATTTTGTTCACATTTCATTAGCTTTTTCTATTCTCATAATTTTCTACATAAAAAAAAGAATGAAGAAAAATATGATTATTTTATTAAATTTTAATTTGAAAAATCTGTAAACGTTTGAAATCAATTAAAAATGTCCATAGAAGGATAAATACACTTTTTAGTGTTTACATACATTTTTAATACTTAGAATTGTTAAAAAATATTCACTCAATCAATATTAAGAAACAAGACTGATATACACTATTTAAAATGTTTATAAAACTAAAAAAAAACACTCAAAATCAAAACAGCAACTTAACATCATAGGTAAATAAACAATTTGCTTCAACTAACACCTAATCTCAACTTACATTGAAAATACTGCCGATTGAGAGCTAACTGTACCAATCGCAAGTTCCAGTACTTGGCATCACTGGCAACAATGTCGCTGTTCAGAGAATTAAATTTCGGGAAAATTAAAATATTAGAATATGATGTACATTATCTGTGCTGCCATCTACTCAAAGAAGTTTGTTTGAATATATTATGAAAATTGGAGGTATTTTTATTTTTATGATGATCTTGTAGTATTTTGTGAAGAGGATGGTGTTGTATTTGGGCCACAGTTATATTCTGGTTTATATTTCGGCTTTTTAATGTTTTGTGACATTAGGATATTTTTTAATTTGACTATTAATTTATCTTTATATATTATGTATAATATGTCGTATTTTTAGTGTTTATTGCGGGATATAATTACTCTTCCCTACTCTGTTTCCGTCAAGTAACCATCTGTATCTTTCTCGTATTGTTTTTGTCTTATTTTCTTTCCGTTCTTGCCACTTTCTATCTCTCTCGTTATCGTTCTTATCGTTATTTTCTGTTCGTTCTTGTATTTATACTAGTTTCCCTATTTTTTCAAAATAGGGTGCTACCCCAAAGTTCCTTCTCTTATGTGTTACCATATTTACCTCACCCGTGAATCTCTTGTAGTCTAGCTCTGTAGAACCCCGACAAAAAAACCTCTACCAGACTGAATCCCAGACCGTTGGGTCGTACTCTTATTTGTGTAGCCTTGTTGCCAATGATCAGAGCGTTTTCCATTTTTCATTAGGCACATTTCTCCCGTCCAACCGTGGTAGCTATTTTCTTTGGTACCCAATTAACTGTCATTTTTTTCGCAACCCAACAATGATTAAAACTGAAAATTTGTTTTTACTTCAATTGCCTTTATTAGAATTATATCTATATCCAAAAAATACGGAAACCTTTTCAATGTAGTAGTTGTTAACTTTGTTATAAAGAAATTACTGTAACGTACGTGTGTTTATAATAAAAAATGTCTTTGTTTAGTTATCTTAAATTTTAAATACACTAAATCTTTTTCATTTTTCAAGGACCACCTTTAGAATAATATTATTTAAAGATAAAGGTTGTCTTAAAGTTTACATTGCTTCTTTGCTTTATTTCCAGGAACTAGTATACTTGGCAACTTAAGAATGGAAAATTGTCTTGTATTGATGTTCGGAACAGGAAAATAGAAAAAAGTTAAAACAATAGCATAAAGTGTTAGATTTAATTTATGGTTCTCGTTAGGTAATATCGTTGATTAGTACGATTAGTGCACTTTACAATCCAGGTTGGAAATCAAATATCAGGTCACCTTTGAAAATATACGAGCTGTCAATAATTTGTCCCGGACTTAAGTAGTAAAACAACATTTTTTTGCTTCTTCTTCTTCTTCCTTCTTGTATGTAGGCTTTAAAACCTGTTTCTTCTTTAATATTAGCCTCCTAAATTGTTTAAATTATCATCATCATCATCACTGGCTCGACAACCCATTCTGATTCCATTCTGATCTGTTTCGAGCTTTTTTCTCCAGTTTTTTATTTTTAAGGTTGCTGCCGCATCTCGCATTTCGACCGCCATTGTTTTCTGTCCATCCATTCGTCTTATTTAATGGCTCTATCTCTCATTATGTGTCTTCCCAGGCCTGAAGGCCTTCCCCTTCTTCTTCTTTATTATTGTATGTAATTTAAATCTTTCTTTGGCCATCTATCTTCATTCATTCGCTTCACGTGACCATACCACACTAGTTGTCTCGTTTCAATTCTGTCTACACTGGAATATACAGTATTTGTCCTCCTTCTAATATCTTCATTTCTGATATGATCTTTTTTAGACACACCATACGCTCTCCTTAGAAAATCCATTCTACTATTTCCAATCTTTTTCTATCTTTTTTCGTCATCTGCCACACTTCTGCCCCATAAGTCATAATAGGCTCTACCAAGGTTTGATAGATTGTCAATTTCGTTTCTTGTTTAATATCTTTAGACCATAGTAGAGAGTTTAGAATGTTAACCGCATTTTTTCCCCTGCTGCGTTTGCTTTTCGATGTCCCTTTTGGTAGTGCCTTCTTTAGATATTATAGATCCGAGATATTTATATTCCTTGCATGTTTTTGTGTTTCTAATTTCTAAGTCTGGATCTTCTTCATCATCTCCTATTTTAAGATACTCTGTCTTTGACATGTTCATATTGAGGCCCCATTTTTCATATTTTTCTTTAGTTTTCTAAACATGTAGTCCATGTCTTCCTCATCATTCGCTACGACTACCTGATCATCTACGAAAAATAAAGTTGTTAGACATTTACCATCGCCTATGTCTATTCCCATTCCGGATACTTGTTTTCTCCACTGCTCTAACGATGATTGAATATATATTTTAAATAAGGTCGGAGATAGACATCATCCTTGTTTAAGCCCCTTTGTTATTGGAAATGATTCAGATATAAAGTTTCCATCTTTAAAGACATTTCTTGCATTTTTGTATATATTTGCGATAGCATCCACATACTCTCTAGTGAGACCTACTTTCGTCAATGTTTGAAACAGTTTTTTCAAAGGTACCGTATCGTATGCCTTCTCTAAATCTACAAACAATAGGTGGGTAGATAGATTCCTTGCCTTCCGTTTTTCGATTATTTGCTGCAGAACGAATATACCATCAGTGCACGATCTTCCTGCAAAAAATCCATTTTGTTCTTCTATATCTTCGTATTCTGATTCTATTCTTTTTTTTATTATTCGACCGTACAACCTCCCCACTGAGCTGATAACAGTTATTCCCCTATAATTAGAGCATTTACGTTTATCCCCTTTCTTGAATATTGAGCTGATGTATCCAATATTCCAATCATCAGGGATATTTTGGCCATTTAAGCATTAGTTAAATAGTTGTTAAACAGGTTGTTATATCATTTTCTATTTGTTCTAAGTATCTCAGCTTCGGTCTTCCTCTTGTTATTTTTTCTACTGACACTGTCATTCTACATGTCCTATCCAACGCAGCCATCCTATTTTAATGAATGTTATAATATCCGGATCCTGGTATATTTTGTTTAGTTTAAAGTTGTATCTTCTTTGCAAAATTCCGTTTTCTTTTCTGCCCTTATTCTGCCCTTATTCTGCAAGATTTTTCTTTTGAAGGTAGTTAACAACGTTTCCTTTCTTTTAGTGAGTGTCCATGTTTCTGAGCCGTATATAAGTGCCGGTCTTATGTTTAAATTATCGCACCATCTTTTTCTTAGTCTACCAATACTTCTTCGTCCATTTGGTGACTTATCTCGTACTATTTGTACTATTTTATTCTCTACCATTCTACTAATGTGTTTATTCCATACCTGTTTCCGT